AAAAACGAACTACAAATACTCCAAGATTTTTTTGACTTCATTAAAAAATTAAATCGTTTTTGTCGGATGGAAACTTTTTGAGGTCAAAACCCCCACCCCCAAACTAAAGGAAATAAGTTTTTTATCTGACATCGATCTTTTGACGTCGTCCCTTACCATTCTCGATACAATACTTAGGACTCAATTCATCAGTGGTATAGTCCCATCATTATGTGTACTACCTCTCAAAATAAAACATCACAGTGCTTAACTCCATTTGACATCTAGATTTTTTTCAGTTAAAGTAAGAAAAATTGCAATCATAACTTTGAATAAATCAGTCTGTCATATCATATTTCTTATTAATTATGATGAATAATTAAAAATGTAATGGCTATTTTGTATGAATATAAGCTTTTTTGGAATGGGACTATATTATGTGGTAAAATAAAAAAATGAGATAATGGTCAAATGGCTAAACATTTAACACCATGCTACCATAATATCAATACGCTCATCTTTAATAATTTAAATTTTTAGATATTGTTGGGTAATCCTTTTCAAAAGTGAATTGTTTATATTATTCACCAATATAAACATAATAGCATGTTTTGATGGTACTTTAAATTTGTGGAGCTTCTGTGCATGATTGTATTTGCTATTAATGATGACGAGAAAATTATATAGAATTTTTAATGCAATCCATGTCCAGATGACCAAACTAAGAATCCATCCACACATATGCTTGATTGATATAGCTATTAGAGTTTTTGTCGTGTCGTATATCAGTCAAAGTCAAAGGATAGAGACCATTTATAAATATTATTGCTTGCAGCTCTATATGGAACCATCCTTTCAAGGACTCGCTACACTTTTAAAAACCTTTCAAAATCATTTTTTGTCTCCCGGCTTTCACTCGCATAATTTTTTCTTTCTTGCTTTCACAGAAATATTAATCAATATCTGTCTTGGCAAATGGGTAACCTTCGCAGTTGACAATCTAATAGTAGCGTTCACACACAGTTCCTTAGCACAAGAGGTCAAATATCTTAACCCGTGCTAAGAAAACGTGCGTGAACGCTTAGCACGAGCTAAGCACCGAAAACGCCATTGTATTCAATGTTCATTTGGACGATTTACTATTACATGTATATTCATAACTCTTGATTTCTGCATGCCATTCCCTACATGACAATCAACGTGTGCACATCTACGTGGACATTGTTCTTGAGAAAAAAAATAAACTAATTATGAGACTCCTGCACTTAAACTTGGTGTTGTTTTATAACCGTAAAACTACCATGTATACCTTTCTAGTTACTGTACTGAGCAATTATAGTTAAAATGACTGAAGATTTTGTATATTTTTAATAAGTTTGGGTGTTCCTTAGCCCATGCTAAGCGCTGTTCCCTCCCCTGCGTAGACGCAATTGGGTCTATCTGATATGCAAACATACAAGATAAGCTTAAATCCTAGCCCATACTTTGTGTAGTGTGAACACGACTAATATGTACCTGATAAAAATTGTCTTTCAAAAATA